GGGGGGGGGAGCGCTACAAATGCACATACGGGTTTGCTAAGTAAAAACAAAAACGTGGCTTAATGAAATTCACACCCACCAAAAAATCTACAAGGTGGGCCTTTTCCTCAAGTCCCAAGTGGCCCTACACAGAAATCAAAGTCAAAATAAGACAAACGTCTTGAGATTAGCCTATGCTTTAACTTAATCTCCTCCCTTGGCACTGCCAAGACCAAGGCACTGGTAGACAGGCTTGTCTGACTTCTCCCAACATGAGGAAAGGTGCTAAGTACTAGGGAAAAACACCCAAGCTCCCAGCACCTACATAAGCCCTCGGGGAGATGGGCCAGCCTTTCTTTCCACAAGGCTACCACAAGCAATATCGGCCAGGAGAGATGGGAGACTTCACAAGTGTATGATAACAAGTCACCGAGCTGCAGGACCAATTCTCATGGCCTCACAGGACCCATTAGGGCGTAACCTTGTTTCTCTCCCCCCACAAAGCAGGAACTTCTTAGAAGGCATTAAAATTCTTTTATCAACTAGCTTAGCCTGGGACACTGAAAAACCACTGCCGTCTTCAACACACATTTACTTGTAAGCTTACTGCAAGCCAGGCACCAAGGAAACAGCCAAGGAAGAAGACACACCTGGAAACACATACCCCCCACCCTGGGGAGGGAGCCGCACAGAGCTGCTACAGTGCAGGTGGAGCCTGGATAAATGGCAGACCCAGTGGGGTGATTCGCTCGCACCCTAACTTCCATCAGAAATTTTACAATGATATTCACAGAACACAGCTTAAGGGAAAAAAAAGTCATGATTCTAGACTGAAACTACTCTTGAGAGATCAGAAGTCTAAAATCGCTAGTCTTGAGTTTTAGGTTCTCTCTCTGCCCAGCTTCAACACACAGAGGTAAACAAGGGAAGAGGACAAACAAGCAAACAAAGCCCCGTGACGGCTCTGGGAAGGTCCCACGCACTAGCAGGCATTTTCTTCGGTACAGGGCAATGACGGACTCCTTCACCCCCCGGAGGGGCCCCTTCGTCAGCAGGGCGGCGTTGCTCTGGTACGCGTACACCAGGTACGACAGCGCCTCTTGGTACCTTAGGAAACAGAAGAGAAGCAACAGCTGAGTTCCCTTCCTTCGAGCATCCGTGGTTTAGACCTCGCTGTTGCCAGGTCTTCTCAATCAACTTGGCTGTGACCACAGAAAAGTCTTCAAAGTGAGGCAGCAAGGCACACTGGGAAAAGCCTGAGGGCCACAGGCTGCAGCCAGTCCCCACTGTTACGCGGCGGCTGAGCGCCCAAGAGAAATCATGAGAGCTTCCTGGGTCAGTTGCTCCCTTCTGGGAAACAGGCACGGGGAGCAGGGATCTGAGGTCCATGCCTACTCCAAAATCCCATGGAGTCCTTCCCTCGTCATGCAGGACCCAGTCTGCACAGCAGAGAAATAATAACGAGCCTGTCGTTCCTGGAGGGATGACGTGGGGTTCAGACACAGGCTGGAGAGAAGCTCAGGGTAGGCACAGACCCCCACTGGCTTGTGTGAAGAGGTGACTGAGGTGAGTGGTGTGCGGCCAGGGTTCTCAGTATCTGATAAACAGAACCTCCTGACCAATAGTTTCAGTGAAATAAAAGGCCAACATACTTCCCTTTCTGATAGAGTTCCAGGCCTGTGAGGAGGTACACAGACACCTTCCGAAACAAACTGTAATCTTCATGCCACTTCTGAAAAGGAATGTCCACCATTAATGATCACGACCACAATAAACCACGCCTATACTTTGCACCGCAGTCAGCTTTAAATTCAACACCCATTTATTGAGTACATATAACAACAAAGCCGAGAGCTTTCAGATAAAACCTAACCCACAACTTGGAACAGAAGTCTACCTCTGGTTTTAATGTCCATGATATGTTCAGTTCACACGACCTTTAGAATTGATTAGCTTAATTTCCAAGTCAAAAGCATTCGGCTCAGGCTTAAAACAATGTCCTCTCCAGTTTGCACGCCAGCATCCGCAAGGATTAAGATGAGAGGACAAGCCAGTTCCCTGTCACACGGCACAGAGAGGGGGTCATACACAGCACATTCGGGCGACGCACGTCCCCCAGGAAGACCGAGCAGAACCGCCCTCTGGGTGTCCCAGACTGCCATCTTTGCGAAGCAGCAAACGCTGCACTTCTCGGGCTCTTTGACAAACCACAGTGGGCATAGAATACGATTGTAGGTAGACTGCAATGATTTTGGGGGGAAATTTACAGTCATCTATATGCATCTCAAAGCCTACTAGCAAACGATGATATTGATAACAACACAACACATTGATTTCAAGAACCTTAAGCCTAGGCTAAAGACGCCAACTATCCTGAGCTCATGAAAACGTGTCCAATGCTTCGCAGTTTACTTTTGCAAGCGAAGCCTGTCCGTCTGTGACAGCACAACTGCTCCAGTTACGCGGCAGCGCCCCAGCCTCAGGGATGACTGTCCATGCTCCCACACTACCCAGGGGTGCAGGAAGAGAGTTCACCTTGTACTCCTCCATGTTCATGTCCTCCGGACCGATTTCCTTCAGTTTAGCCTGAGCCACCTTCATGATACGGATTGACCTATTGGGGCAGAGTTCACAGGGCAATGGAAGAGGGAAGTGCAAAGTGTTTCCCAAACCAGAGAGAAGAGCTGGTAGGGCCCGATGGCACCTCACCTTTCATCATAGCTGAGATTTTTATCTGCAAACTGCTCCAAAAGGGTCCGCTCCACCACCCTTTTGGGGGCTTCATTTTGGAAAAAGTAGACCAGGACATGCTGAAGGCGAGGATCGCTGTGAGAGGTGGGTGTTTCCTTGGCCAGCTGATAGAGCCTGGAGTATTCTTCGTGGAATGCCTGTGAGACAGAACGGCTGGTCAGAACAGTGTGCTCCGAGGGGCTTCTGCACACAGAAGTTGGTGCCCCCGGTGAGAGCCTCTCAGGACTGCTTTAAGAATCAGGCGGCAGGCGCCAACACAGGGCAGCTCTGGAACCCGTACGCGGCTTGCATGTCCCAGGGCATGAGGCTCCTCCAACATTCTGGCAACGGAGACACTAAAGTGCCGGGATGAACAACTGTTTAGCTTTCATGGTTTCAGGTATATCGAGGAGTTTCACTGATGTGAATTTTCAACATCCACAGACATACAGCGGTGCCCAGGGACCTACTTCCTAACAATCATACCATGGCTCCCTAACTGTACTGAGAGACACCTGCTCACTGCAATGATGGCGCAGCCCTCCTGCGCCCGTGCAGCACAGAATGGCAGGCCCAGGGACAAGGAACACTCGGTACCGGGGGGCCCCTGGCTCGTTACTTGTCAGGAACGGGACAAAGCCAACGTCTTGTTTCACTTCAATGAGAAATCCTCTTAATCACACCCCCTACTCTCCGTCCGTCCGCCCCTCTTACAGAATTAGTGCCTGGATGTTACTCGACCCGTGTTATCAGGATTCGAATGTGAAAAACAGAGATACCTTGATGAGCCCTGCTTCAGACCCATCCCGGTCAAAAGTCTGGCGGGCTTTAGCTATGGCCAGGATGACCCCTTGCATGGCAGGGCTCAGCATCACCTGCCACAGGAAGGCACAAACAGAGAGAAAGGACAGAAGAAAGGTTGAAACACAGCAGGAAAGAGAGGTGAACTCGCAGTCAGCAGCCTGCTCAGCCTCCATTATAAATCACGTGCCATGCACACACCCCGGCATGCATCTCAGCCCTCCACACAAGCTGTCCCTGTCCACCCTCTCTGAATGAGCAGGACGAACAGAGATGTCTGAGCAGGACTCCAGCACAGCACTACTGGAGAGCCAAGTGGAACGAGAGCTCGCGGAGGGGCGTGTCGGAGGGGAGAATTCTGATGCCATACTGTGGGTGGGGCGAGCAGCCTGAGAGCACAGGTGTTTCAGGGCTTTACTACAATGAAGAGTGTCTTTACGCCAGTCTGGAAACTGGAGGCGGCTCAAATGACTTTACGTAAGGTAATCAAAACCTTTCAGTGATGTTTAGAATTATACACACAGAATAAGACACAAACAGACCCCAACAGTGCACGGGAAGCAACAGAAATGTACGGGGCCCAGCAAGACGCTTTATGTGCAGTGCAGACTGACAAAGAGATGGCAACCAACACGGAGATTATGCGGCTTCTTCCGGAAGCTTCAGAACCGAACAGCGAAACTGGAATATTATTTACACTAGGAAGAAAATCAGTGTGCTAAAATCGCCAAAACCAAAGAGGACTACCTTAGAATTAGAAGGCATTTTTCGTTTGGTTGTTGTTCATAATTTTTGTGTGTGTGTAAGGAAATGAACGGAATTCTCTGGGCCATTGAGACTGTGCGGTGGTTGCCGTAAGTAAGTGTATGACTGGGGAGACAGACAGTGGATGGAAGGCTACACTTTTAAGAATGGTGGCTCAGGCTAAAACCAGGTGGGCTTTCTTGTCCATGATTTGTTTCAAGGGGAAAATACTAACTATTGTCGGGCACCTTAAAAGAGTAAAAGCCAGCCACGTGAGGAGGAAATACAGACGAACCACAAACAGCTAACCCTTGCACTTGTCTTTGTACCTCCTCATCATATCCATCTGCATCAGATCTAACCAGAATCCTTCCCACACTGGGAATCTCGACTTCCGAGACCTCAGAGTTAGGCTGGGCAGCGGGCTCTGCTTCATTAACCTGTGGGGGCTGGTCTGACTGTTCTGCAAGCTTTGATTCCTGAGGCCTGGGCTCCTTAGCTTCAGCTTCCTTGAGCTGTGGCAGCAGAATGGAGAGAAAGAGTAAGGGAAAAAGGAGACATGATGAGGGGGTAGTTACATGGAGCAGAGATACAGAATAACAGAAACGTGGAGACAACGGTGACAGTTACTGCTGGAAGCACCAAGTCTCGGACACTCTCACCTCACTCAAGGCTGCTTCCACACCACTCTTCTCGTAGGCTTGGGCCGTGTTAGCAATGGCCTGGGCCGTCTGCTCCTTGGCTATCACAGCATGCTCGGATGACAAACAGCGAGCCCCGTGAGAAGAGGCCACCGAGGGCTCTGAGGAAGCAGGGTACAAAGGTTTGAGCAGCTGATAATTTGAAGAAGAAAAAATCTAGCATACGCCGATGAAAGACAATTAGGATAAATATAACTTAATCCGTAAGCCTCCAACCAAATCTTTAAATAAATTTAAAATATCAATTCAAATAACTCCTCAATACGAATGACGTGAAGGTTTTATTCAATTCGGTGCATCCCCCCAATTTCATGATGCTCCTTTATGTCAAAGCTTTCAATCAGCCAATGATCCTCCTCAGAGAACAGTGCAGGGAGTCCCTGACCTGTGACGTATGTGTGTTCCCACCATCTCTTATTGTAATAGCCACCGCAATACAAGGTAGCAACACATAACTTGCTGATGTTAATGTTCTCAGATGCTCACTCACAGATGGTCAATTTTATGATTTATTTATAAAGGCAAAGGTAACTTAAGGTAACATAATAATGAAAACCTTTTAAAAATGAAGAACGAGGTATTCAATTTTCATCAGAACTGACTTCTAAGGGGGTGGTTATGCTGTAACCGCGTCAGAAGATGGGTAGGGTCTACCTACCAATGTCGTCGTGTCTCTTATGACCTATGTCAATAGGCAGAAACGACACACGCAGTGACGACAGTACTGGGCGCTCGTGTCTGTGGTACCGACCTGCTGCTCACCAGAGCCGCGCGATCAGTGCCCGAGCTGCTCTGTGCGCTAGCACAGCCCTGACTTTCTGAGACCCGTGACACACGCAGACCGCGGCACCCTGGCTCGGGGAGCACAGCACGAGGGCGGTGGATTACCGCTGGGCGGGCACTTCTCGGGTACCTGGTGACGGAGAGAAAGCCTGGGGTGAGGAGCTGGTGGAGGAATCCATCTGAGGCATTTTGCAAGACTGCTCTTCTTCCCACTCCTCCACTTCCTGCTCGAGCCTCCAGCTGTCTTCCTGAATGTAATGCTTCAGCTCCGCAGACAGGGCCTCCAGCTCTTCCAGCATCTGGTCGGACTCATCGGGGCCCGATTCTGGGGAAGAGCAAAGGCACAGCTGACACGGGGTATCGTCCACCACGAGGCCCTGTCTAGGAAGGAAGACCTCTTCTTCTGCCCTTCCTCCAAACCAAAAATACGCACAGAAGACACCAGAAATATCACCAGCATCATGCCAACCACAGCCAGAGAACCCGGCTGTACCAACAGCAAGACACGTGTCGTGTCCATTAAATAACCAAGTGAATGCATGGATGAACAAATGCAGAAGTGCCAAGAGTCAAGACGTGGAATACAGCCCAACAGGGGCAGACACACCACACAGTCTGGAGAAATTCAGAAAACTGCCCTTTTGAACGGGTGCTTCAAGCTCTACGGCTTATCAGTGTAACTCCTAAACCTGTTACCGAGGAGACTGTCCACGGCTCAGGATGGCTAGAGAGGAATCCCTCGCATTCAAACCCTAGTGGTCATCAAGCCAGGCTGGATTCACGGTTAGCCCACCCCTGGGATTTTCAAGGGCTGCTTTCCTGGAAGTAGATCACTAGGCGCTTCTGGGTGGACTTGACTCTCCAAACGTTACTTAGCAGCTCCCTGTGTGAGCTTCTGCACCGTTCAAGGGTGGGTGGGGAACTGCCGCCTCACCGCACACAGCTCGGTACTCTCAGAAAGCGACTGCAGGCACGGTCTGTGGTTCCGATTCGCGGTGACACTGCACACCACAGAAGGAAACAAGGGTTCGTGGTCAGTCGTATTTGCTCATCACAAGCTCTGATGGATCAAAACCCCAGCCACCGGCTCGGGCCTGGCTCACAGAGACCCTGTATAGGGTTTCTTTCTGAGAGCAAACAGATTTAACTTCCTCCTGTGGAGGGGCTGCTGGGTCGGAAATGTCGACTTTGAGGTTAGCAGTTCAATCAACGGTGATGAGCAGGACCCAGCAGTTCCAATCCTAGGACTTTCCCTCTAAAGGACTGACCACAGGGACACTTGGACATGTGCACCAGTCTCCACGGGAGCACTATTCACAATAACCAAAAGATAGAAAGAACGTGGATGTCCGTCAGCAAGTGAATGAACAGAGCGTGGGGCACACAATGGAACATCATTCAGCCAAAGAGAGAAGAGAAGTTCAGACACGTGCTGCAATGCAGAGGAACCACAGAAACTTTAGGCTGAGTGAAACCAGTCAAGTCACAAAAGGCCAAATGCTTTATGATCCCACTGACAAGAAGTATCTGGAAGAGTCAAATGTACAGCGGTCAGTTTATTAGTAGTTGCCAGGGGTAGGAGTGGTCCCGGTGGCATAGTGGGGTAACCTCTCAGGATGCTAACGGTGAGGTTCGCAGTTCAAACCCATCAGCTGTTTCATGGAGGAAGGCTGAGGCTGTCTCCTCCTGCACGGACTGAGTCTCTGGAACTCTAAAAGTAGTTCTACCCTTTCCTACAGGGCTGCTCAGATTGGTTTTGGTTTACCAGGAATGAAAGAGAGGGAAGAAAGAGAAATTACTGCTGAGGGGATACTGGGACATCTGGGAAAGATGAGGGAAAACTTAGAAAGGGGTGGGGGGGACAGCTGCACATATGAATGCAGTTAATGTCGCTGGATTGTGGATATCCAAAAAATGCTGACACGGCCACATTTTGTTACCCATATACTCACCACGATTAAACACAAAACCAAAGCTTAAAACTGTTACGATGGAAACTGACCATGATGTCACAAGGACACTAAATTTCATTTCAAACCTTGAGACCACACCACTGAGGGGTGAATTACCATTAAGAGACCGTGGTCCTCACCCTGGACCCCGACAATCACACCAACAGAGCAGAACACAAGCACGCTCTGAGGGCCACACACGACGCTCTTACTGACACAACTACACAGCAAACCCTGAACACAGGGAAAAGGCTTCCCGTGATCTTACAGGTGAAACGCTGCTCACTCACGGGAAAAGTAACACAGACACACAAAAGGCCTCTCTGCTGTCAAGTGGAGAGCGCCCTGGTGACGCCGTGGGCTCTGCGCTGGGCTGCTGGCAGCTTGAAACCATCTGACCCTCCTTCACGCCTTGTGACAAAAATGAGGCTCTTGGTTCCTATAAAGACATACAGTCTCAGAAAACCTCACGGGCACCTCCACTTTGTCCTACAGGGTCACGATGAGTTGGAATCGACTGCTGGGGTGTGAGTTTGGCTACTCCATTAATTCTGACTTGTGGCGACTCCAGAGGACAGAACTGCGCCCGTTGGTTTCTGAGGCGGTAAATCTTTACGGGAGCAGAAAGCCTCATCAGCCTCCCATGGAGCAACCGGTCGGTTTGAACCAGTGACCTTGTAGTTGGTAGCCCGATGGATAACCTTGCAAGCCACCAAGCTCCTTGAAAGGAGGACAGAAGAGTAGAAATGGAAAATGGCACAGCATTTTGAGACAGAACTGGATCCAGCTCTTGGGCTTGCCACTTAATAAGTACTAGATCTCTGAGTCTGGACACTGGAGAATCTCAGAGCCTCATGCCCAGCTGGAGAGTGTGAACAATAGCAATTTCTGCCCTGCCCATCTCCTTTGTGAGCTACAAGTTATTAGGAAACAAAGTCTGAAAGCATGCTTTAAGGTGTAAGGTACCAATGCAACAAGTGTCACTGTTCTTGGCATTAGAAGTAGTACTATGAGGAGACTGAAACTGCTCAGGTAAACCCACTTTTAAAATTCAGCTCTTCTCCAAAGCATGTAAAATTATGTGGAAAAGGCTGTCATCAAAAAAGCAAGTAACAGAGGCAATTTAAATTATCTATCAAAGGGAAGCTGGTCAGATAAGTTATACTATACCCACAGAATGAAATGACTCTTCGGTTATTGAAAACAATAAGCCAGTCCCATTTATTTAGAGTAAAGCAACTACTATGATGGGTGGGGAAAAACAACAGCAGCGAAGATGCGGAACAGAATATGAAAGTATCCCATATGCACAAAAACAAGGGGGAAAGACCCATAAATAAAATGTAGCATATCCATTTCTTGGAGCCTGCATGGCAAACCTAACAAGGGGACAGACCGTCTGGAAACGGCAAAGAAATGGACTTTTCCTCCTACTCCCTTTCGTCTTCCTGTTGCTGCTGCTGAGAGTCGTTGGCGTGGCTGGTCTTGTGAAATCGTGTCATGTGGCCTCCAGTGTCATTTCTATCGATAAGGAAGGGCCTATTTGCCAATTACTCCTCATCTTCCTCTTGTGTCCAATGCTTGCACTCCAATCACCAAGAATTATCAATGGATGCACCTGATGGCATGCGTGATCAATTTCAGACTGCAGAGGTTGGTAGAGTTCAACGCGTTCATCACTGACCCCAGTGAAAGGTGGGTAAGTCTGAGTAACAGTTCTAGAAACTGATCTTCCTTACAGGTGAATGGATCCTGCCCTGTCACGGTGAGTGCTGTACTTCAGGGGTGACCCTGAAATGCTCTTTTTGACTATGCACGTGACGCCATTCCTTTTTGCCATCCCCAGCGCAGCAGGCCGTATGACGGCCAAGACTAGTCCATCTCAGCTCACCCGTGCGCATGACAATGACCTCTATGGATTTCACTTCACTTACGTTAATAGCTTCGAAATACAGTATTACTTAATAATAATGGTAATACAGTATAGTTGACTTTTTTTTTTTTAAGAAATGTGAGACTTCTGTTCTCTGGGGAGTACAGATGTCCCCACAGCTCCAACGTCTGCTCCAACATTTACCTGCATGGTGGTGGGGCAGCTGGTCATTAATGTACATCAGACAGTAAGCACTGACGTTTCTCAGACCCCCGTAAGAATCCCTTTCAAGTTCTTCCCAGGAAGATTCGGTAACAGAGATGTCGTTGTACTTGAGCCAGATTTGCCGGGGTTGATTATAGATATAGGCCCAGTAGTGTCCAGCATTTGCTTGTCCTTCGTGAACAAGAACCGCATGCAAGCGGTAAGGCACCTGCAAGTCAGAAGGTACATTCTTCAGGTCAGAAAAGTAGTTGATACAGTACAGGTGATTAAAATCACAAATATGCCCAACTATCCGAAATGGGGAAGTAGGCTATTCGCAAATGTGTTAGACAAGGGGCTCGTATCGAAGCGCCTTACTGGTTCAAGATGAACTAACAATTAACAAAGAACACGGCAGTGGAGGCTACTTTGCCTCAGAATCTGAATCTCTAAAACCACACAGATGAGCAGTCTCTTTGAGGAGTCTTCCAACGCTAAACGGCTGCCACGATACATCTAAAACCAACCCAGACCTGCATACGGCTTCCTCTTCTCCCTTCGATTATGTACGCAGTCTACCTCAGAAGTCAATAGTTCCTGGGGGAAAAGTGCCTCCGTTTGGGCCTGGCAAACCTAGCAGTCATCTTATTCTGTGCTTACTGTGCTTGGCGTTAAAACTCACGGGAGCACGTTCATTACGACTCAGTCACGCTCTATTCCTCCTTAGGAGCAATCACTCAGGAACTTTGTCGAAGTCCTGTTGCAATGTGTGCTTTAACACTTGAAATGTATAAATCACACAAACAAACAAAACACAAAGCCCACCCCAAACTCAAACTGCCATCGAGTGAATTCTGACTCATAGCAACCCTTTAGGGCAGAATAAAACCGTCCCTTGGGGGCAATCTTTACAGGAGCAGAAAGCCTCCTCTTTCTCCAGAGGAGCGGTTCGTGAGCTCGAATTGCTGACCTTGTAGTTAGCGCCCAACATAGAACCCCTCTGCCAGCAGGGCTCCTTTCTCCAGATGGGGAAAACAGAGCAACGCATGAGGACTCAATCAATGCTGGGGAAAGAAAATCCACCACGAGATCAAATCCAGCTTCCTCAGTACCTTGACACATTTTGACTGGTGGTAAAGATCTTCTAAAATATAATAACCCTTCAGAAAAATGTGAAAAACCCGGATCTATGTGGTACATTCCTGCTAAGCAACATAAGCGCACTTTGTTGGCAACCCTAAAACAAAGTGCCGTCCAAAGCTGCTCCGTCCACCCACGTGGACATCACTGGCTAAGCCATTTCCCCCTCGGGCCCAGAGTGTTTTCCTAAACAAACGTTTCCCAAGACAGTAAGAACGCCTGCCCGGCTCCCTCTCCTGGGGAGGTGCGCGTTGTCAGAGAACTAAGGGTGGCAGCAGCAGCATGCTGCCGCAGGAACAATGATGGAGGCTCGTGGTCCCTTGGAAAGGATGATCAGCCTCGCTCTGGTTTCCCCCTGCACCACTTCAGTAAACATTTTGTGGGACATTTCCACTACTGCATGAAAACAGACTGTGTGACAGAGCAGCATCTCAGGTTCTAGTGTTGGTACAAAAGAAGGCTGCTTTCTGTGACCTAAAAAAACAAAACAAACTCCCAAACAAAAACCATTTTAAAAATATGTAGATGTTTAAATTTACTCTCATGTCCCTACTTTGTATTACCACTGAACGTGCCCTGACTATCCCCCCCACCCCCCCCGGCCCATTGTCACCCTACCTGACGGAGCAGAGGATCGCAGTACATCTGCTCAATAGTCCGGGTCGCGCTCTCGATACAATTCTTTAAGTCTGTGAAAGAAAGGACCCTTCACATTAGAAATGCGTCATGCCGTGCCACATTGGCAATTCCACACCAAGCAGTAGCAGTGAGCCTGCACCCAGGTGCACTGCCTTCACCCTCACCTGACAGAGTTGCTAGTCCATCCAGTTAGAGGCTTTCAGTTTTAAGGTAATGACCCTGAGGCTTTAAAAATATGTACCTTTAAACAAATAGCCTACAGTGGAAACTGTTCTCAACAATCTTAATGGATCACGAGGGTGCCAAATGCATACGCCACAGACAGGATGCGGAAGGAGAGGAAGTGGGCCAAGTCTCTCAGAAGAAGGATGCAGGAGGAATTTGGAATTTTGTTCTTCTTGCTATTGTTCTACTGATACAGGAAGAAAGGAGGGAGTGCAGGTTCATGTGTGAGCAATGTGACCATGAGGCCAAAGGACTTTGAAGAACAAAATGCTGAATAATTCAACAACACCATTTTACAGGGTTTGAATTGCTCAAACATTCTCTGCTTCACTAAATTGCGCTAATAGACAAGATCTTCAAAGGAGAACGGCAGGAATGCAGAATCTTAAAGGTTGGGTCCAGTGAATTCAGGGCTGGAAGAACCAACTAAGTGATCAGCAATCAAAGGCAAACAATTGGAGCCAAAGCTGGTCAGAGGAACCTACACTTCCTAGAAGCCCGGTTTCCACAGCTCCCCTGTAACGGGGCGGGAACCAATCTTAGGAAAAGTACCGACCGCTCAATATCCTAAGCAAGAAACAAGGTAAAGAGTAATTGCTTGATGGGTTTTGAAAGCACCCACCTTGTATATCTTGCTCAATCTCACTCCGCCATCTCTGGAGGCAGGTCTTTACAAAGTTCATCTCCTCCTCTGTGACTGTTCGAGGAGCTGGCGGGGCGAGTGTCTCCGTGGAGGACCGAGAGGATGCAAGTGGCTTAATCTTAGACTTGAGCAGAGAATCTTCAGGAGAAGAAAAGGTACGTTCAACATCCTGAGAAGAGCTTTCTGCATTTGTACTGAAGGAAGACAAAAACCATGCTCATTGGACAAGGGACAGCGCTGGCCGGGATTACTTTGGGAAGCAAGCTGCTCTATCAAAAAAGGTGGATGTTGCGGCAGAGAGCAAAATGTCTTTACAGGCATTGTCTCATTTAACTGGAACTTGCTATCCTCGTTTTACCATCTACACATAAAACCGAGGTTTGCCGAAATTAAGCCGCTTGGACTTGAGGAGGTGGTAAGCGATACCAGAACAAAACACCACGCGCCCTGCAAGAAGTCAATTCACTTCTGACTCATGACAACCCTACGGGACACGGCAGAACTGGCTCCCTGAGGGTTTCCAAGGCTGCAGGTCTTTACGGGCGCCCAAAGCCTCATCTTTCTCCTGATGTCCCAGCAAGCAACCCACTATGCCACGGGGGCTCTGAGTCAGCGACACAGAGGGTTTAACAGCAGGCCTGCCTGGCTCTATGGCCATGCTGTGCACCATGGACTTACCACACTGCCATCTCACTGAGAGGACGAGGAAGAACAAGAAAAGGGGATGCTGGGGCCGGAACCGTTCAGAAATTGACTACATAGTCACCCAAATGCAACCGAGAAACCCAAGAGGGCTTCAACTTTTTGAAAATATCCTGGGGGGAAAAAATCATCATCCTTTCATTTAATTTCCCACAAACTTTGAAGCCCTCTGCCCCTGGTCTATCAAATCCATAAAGTGAACTCAGGAATATGAGGTAGGACCTTGGAAGAGAACAGAGAGAATGCTCACAGCCAGACAATTCCAGCGCTACCCAAATCCATCCTTGTTTAGTTAATTCTGATCCACTGCCCCACAGAGTTCCCAAGGGTGTGAACTCTAAGGAAGGAGAATGTCTCATCTCTCTCTCTCTCTGAGTGACTGGTGGATATGAAATACTAATCTTGACGTTTCAGTTAGCAGTCAAGCACTTAACTAGGGTGCCACCATCCAACCTGCACCCCCACCACCTCTAACAAAAACCTACTGCTGTCGGGTTGATTCTGACACTGTAACCCCAAATAGGATTTCTGAGACTATCCATGTTTACGGAGCCAACGGTCTCACCTTCCTCCTTTGGAGCAGTTGGTGGGTTTGAACGGCTAACTTTATGGTGAGCAGTCTGACACCGCATATCTCATGCTGCAGTGCCCCTTCCAACTCTACCACTCCTTGCTGAGATACAGGAGAACGTTATTAGCCTCAAGTAAGGACTCTAGTATTTCTTCCCCCAAATTTACATCTCTCTTGTAATAAAATAAGCGCAGCAGCGAATTGGCATATGTTAATTAACTAGTGTCAAACAGAATATAAACTGCACACACGAGGGGACATCATGGGAATGTGCCGGTGGTGTAGCAGGTCACTTGCTGAGCTGCTAATTGCAAGGTTAGTGGTTCAAAACTACAAGTCGCTCTGCAGGAAGAAGATGAGGCTTTCTAATCCTGTAAAGTTAGTCTCGGAAATCCATAGGGGCAGATCTACCCTGTCCTATAGGGTCATTTTGAGTCGACTCAATGGCAGTGAGAGGATAAGCCAAAAAGTATGTTGGCTACAAAGTCATGGAGACCTTCTGTTGTTGCTAGGTGCTGTGGAGCCGGTTCCAACCCATAACGACCCTACACACAAAAGACCCCACACACTGCCCAGGCCTCACAGTGGTCCCTGTGCCGAGTCCATTGGTGCAGCCACTCTGTCCGCGCATCTCGTTGAGGGCCCTCCTCTGTCACTGCCCCTCCACTTTACCAAGCAAGATGTCCTTCTCCAAGCACTGGTCTCTCCTGATGGTACAACCAAATATAGAAGCCGAAGCCTTGCCATCCCTGCCCCTTAGGAGCACGCTGGCCGTACTTCTTCCAAGACACATCTATTTGTCCTTTTAGCAGTCCACGGTACTTTCAGTATTCTTTCCCACAATTTGAATGCACTGATTCTTTTTCAGTCTTCCTCATTCAATGTCTAAGTTTCATACACACATGAGGCAGTGGGAATACCAAGGTTTGGGTCAAGCACAGCTAAGTCCTCAAAGTAACATCCTTGCTTTTCAGGACTCCAAAGAGGTTTTATGCAGCAAACTTATCCCATACAACTCGCCTTTTGATGTGACTTGCTTCCATGAGCACTGCTTCTGGAGCCAAGCAAGAGAAAAATCTTTGACAACTTCAAACTATTCTCCATTTATCATGATATCTTCGTTCAATAAAGATCTCCATACATTTTTATATTTTTGTTAAAAACTAGGAGGACGAGGTTTCCGGATGAAATTCTCCTGGGACAGCCCTTTCTACCCTCAAAGAATGCACAGGTACCCCTGTCGTGTTGCTGAAATATCCTGGCTTTTTCTCACCAGCGTAGTTTTCTATCTTAAATCTTCTCCTGAAAAAACTCCTGATTGCCCTGTGTACTCTGAGAAAAATCTAATTTGTAATCTCCAGAAACAGTTTCCACAGCCTTCTGAGCTGAGCTCTGCCTCGAAGAGAACTTCCCTGCAGGTCCCTGGTTCTGACGGAACCCTGCTCTCTGGATTGTAACGGCAGACCCACAATGTGATTCCTTCCGTAAAGTCATGTTCATCAGCTCGGATCTTGCTTAAAAGACTGATGCAACGAGCAGCTCTGTGAACTAGCTGATCCCCGCACAAAGCTCTTGGCACCCATCCGGCCGAAAGCTGATTGACCAAGATGTTTGCTAAAAAGTGAAGCCGCCGAACCATGAGTGTAACACCAGAAGCTACACAGTATCAATGCTAAGTGGACTGTCTCAACATGAGCCACAGTTTCTTCATTCAACAAGATCAACATTCTCCCTTCTCTTGACTCATTTTTGAGCTCTGCTTGACATTCCTAAAAACACTTGGTCCCTCTGAAAACTTGTTTTACGTGGGGCAGCATTCCGGCAAACTTGTTGTAAAGCTTCAATGATTTGAGATGTCCACTTGAGTTTTGTGAAAAAATTAGATGGTGAGTCCTGACCTCATTTTTTTTGGGGGGTGGGGGCGGGGGGCATGGCACAAATAATATACTTTTGCTTTAAGGTACCCTCATGAGATTAATGCATGGAGGGGCAGCAAACAGAGAGGAGCGGCACAGTGGCTGTAATACACAACTGTGAGGACGGCCAAGGACAGGGCGGTGCTTCACTCCGCAGGACGTAGAAGGTTGCTGCGGGCAGGAAGTGACTCAACAGTGTCCAGCAACAGAAACAGGACCCAGACCAGTATACGAGTCCGCGGACCTGCCTGCTGACTGAAGAGACACAGCAGGAGCCTCGAACCGTCATGGGAAAATGCCGTGATCTCTTAGTTCCATGAACTTTCTGAAGGCTCCTCCTGTTTAAAAGCGTTTTTGTTTGGCCTGAACTCATGCATGTATGAACTAACTGGAAGTCTAGTAGCAAACGGTTTTGACATGGCCTTGTAAACAAACTAGCAGGTCTTAAAATAAGCTTTTGATTGCATTTCGGTTTGTTTCATAGCAAACCTCAGAAGATGCAAAATTTCCTGTAGTTTTGACTTCAAAGAAGTTCTCTTCCTCCCTACTCCCCATACATACAAAAGAATGGAGGAAAAATCTCTTTTCTCCCAGGACACAAGTAAAATAAAAAAGTAAACCCACCACAAGAAGGAGCATGGGTACCTCAAGCTCAGAAAAGCTTGAACAGCCGTGCAGGCACACATATCCACACTATGATGTCAACGGTCTTATTCTATCAGGCAGGTTTATTTTACTCCATTAAAGAGTCTGCTGGCAACCCTGTCCCCCAACATTATGAAGAAAGTAGATCACCTCTAAACCTACCCCCAAACCCTAGAAAGAATGAAAAACATTTGCTATGTTCCACCAGATATGTGGTCTGGAGGTGCCTGTCGCTTTGAACCCGCTCAGCTACACCTCAGAAGAGAGGCCTGGGACCGACTTGCGTTTCGATTATAGCCGAGAAAGCACTGGGGAGCAATGAGAAGAAATGGGGTAGCCATGAGCTGAAATGGAGTCCCCTCCACCACACCCAGAAATGTTCCTCTGTGCCCGCTTGAATGAATGAACGAATGAAACATTGGCCCGTGGAGGTAGGGGCTGGAGAGATGGTGAGGTTTCTTAACACACAAAGCGTTTTCTTTCGTTACCTTGTCTCGGAGGTCTGGTCAGAAACCGGGCCGTGCAGTGAAGACAGTGGTGGTGCCACCCTGGAGTCCCTCTGAGATGGAGAGTTTTCTGAGGCAGGTTTGGTGCTAGCAAATTCAATCACGTACTTTAACATGTCCGGGAGAGGAAACCGAGCTGGGCCGGAGCCATACTTCACATACCTAAGAGAAGGACATGGTCCTTTACTGACCAGGTCTGTCTTGTGTTTTGAGACATGCTGGCACGTTAGCCACAGGGAGTCCTAGAGGCCAACTAATACGTCCTACTAGGTTACTCTAGGTAATTTTCACACCAAGCATTCTCAGCTGTCACACCACCCAGTGGAGAGCATTTCAAATGAGCATCTACTTATAGTCACGCCGGTTATGCTTCTTAACCTGTCATACTTAGTTTCTGGTCCTAAGAGAGAAAATTCTGTTTCTTAAGAAAAAGAGACATAGGCACCCAAATCAGAAAACCTTCTAGGACCCAATGGGTGTTCTGTGCTACCTTTCAGACAAACTGCCTTGCAATTTAGAAAAACTACACGAACTAGGAATGGGAAGCAGATGTTGATAAATGTAGGAGTTTCATAAAATCCAGGCAAAAATGATTGAAGAGTTCTTTAGAATTATTAAATAATAAACACCTTCAAGTATGTGACCAACGTCATTGACAAATGATTGTAACACAAGGGGACTTCCAACAGCTTTTACTTCTTTTAACTTCCATTGTTATACCAACGCTTAAAAGCCCCTCATAGTACCCAACCTCCTGCCATTTACTAGCACAGGTTAGATTCAGAGACTGACTTCATGAAATTTATAGTTCACTATAAACCCTAGAGTTTAAACTGTACAATCATCAAAAGGGCCACCCTATAATCAAACTGGTATGAATAACCTCAAAATTCTGAGATTTCATTTTATATAAAAGGCCAGAGTCACGCCTTATTTTTCTTCTCTGAATATACCGGGGAAAAGAACTCAATTCCAAAACTAAGAACAACTGTTTGTTTCCATGTAAGAAAGGATGTTAACGAGAAGTGGAAATACTAGTGAAAAATAAAGTATATGAATGCAACCCAAAGTGAACCGCACGTTAAAGGGCACACAGCACAAGCATGTCCCAGTGTGCAAGTGGACAGGACAGGACGGTGGGGAAGAAGAGGCAGGCCACAGACACAGACTCCACTGAAAGCATCTGAAGACAGAAGGGTGGAGGAACTGCAGAGAAACGGCCCATTCCTTCCAAGCGTCTCCGTGTCTTCATTCTACCTATTACCAACTGGAAGTGCGTCTCACCCTTCAAGATGTGCCTTCTCGATGACCTCTTCCTCAGTGCCCATCTCCCAAACGCTGAAAAGCACGCCTCCCACGCGGAACCCTCAGTGCTTGGATTGAACCCCTCTCATCAACACCAGAGCAAGCACACGGTTCACGTGTGTCTTTGTAAGTACTCTGTGCTTGTTCAATTAATCAATACATAATGGGCATGGTCCAAAAAAATATTTTCCTACTACAAATTTCAGATTCAATGCAGTTACTGATACTGGGATAGATATAAAGCCATCATGTTACAACTTTATCTTCCTCAGACTCATTGCATTTTAATATGAAACTTAAATCACTTCACAGGAAAACATTTTCCCTTAGAAAGATACCTTCAATTTTATAAACCCATTTTCTTTTTCTTACATTGACTTGAATTCCCTTAGACAACTTTTAGAAGCAACAAGCTCACGCATTATTGATCAGAGCAAAAATGGTTCCCAAAAAGACATTTTCAAATGATCAAAACTGAGTAGACATGGTAAAATAAAACCTTACCACAGTGTTCAGCACACCAGAAAAGTCTTCTACCTCCCACCTCAGTGCTGCTACTTAATGGTATCCATTAAGTTTCTGTTTATTTCCCCAGAAGTGTACTACACATGTTCAATTAGAGAGGTGTAACTTGTTTAAAAAATACAAATGATCTAAAATTTAAGTAAACTTATTTAAAGACAAAGCCAATATATCAGTCTACAGAAAATGTTTTTATATCTAATTCAAAATCTAGGTAAGTCAGAATAATGCTTTGTTTAAAAAAAAAACGAGGTAAACAAACCAAAAACCCCCCTCACTGCCAGTATGTCGGTTCTGACATAGAGTACGGGAGCAACATCCCGACCTGTCTCCCATGGAATGGCGGGTGCATTTGAGCCGACCCCTTTGTGCTTAACAGCCCAGAGCAGGACCCACGACACCACCAGAACGCCTTAGAGCGCCTAGTCAATTACTGGTGAAATACATGTTTTTTGGGCAATAAAACATCAGGTATGTTTGGTTCAACAACATCTGAAAATGTCAAGCCTTCCTTATAAACACTAATTAAAATTTTAAAATACTTCCCCATTTGGAATCCTGCAATTCATTGCCAGGACAGTCTTTGAGAAGAATCAATTCTTAGCTCAAATCTATAATAAGACAAATGGGTAAGCGGACACAATCCATCTCAGATTATCTTACTGAATAAAAAAGAGGAAGCTGATGGGAAAACCAAGACAAACTAAACAAACTATTGGTTTGTTTAGGCGGGAAAAAAGCATTGACAGTATTTACGATTCACTTAACTGTGAAGTCAATGAACTCTACCCAGCCTAGAGAGAAATCACAGAGATTTCTCCGTAGGAAGTCACCGTGAGACCGCAGAAATAAAAACAAAAACAGCAACTACAACAAAAAACAGTGCAGATTTCTTTGTTAAGAGAAGACTTTTTTTGTTTTTTGCTTTTTAAGGGAAAAGACTTTGTACGTGTCCAAAATGCTAAGCACTGCTCTCGGTTGAACAGCACTGCTCCAGGTGGACAGAGAAACGGGTGGGTGGGGTCGCAGTTATTCCTCCTACATCTGTGGGGAAAAAAATGGCACAAGAAGCAGAAACCCTACAGTGCTATGAAATCTGAACTTGAGTTCTTCTACAGTACATGGCCCCCAACTCCCTGTGTGGTCTTACGGCAAGATGGCAGGCACCCCGCACCCACCCTCTACGATCGAGACACAGACAAAACAGAGAGGGACACGGAGGGGCCTGTAATCAATGTAATGGAACATAGCATGTGTTGAATGCACATCTGATTTCCTGCTCTGTAATCCTTCACCCAATTTTCAAGGAAGAAAAAAACCCCCAAACTACCTGTTAGTCCTAAGCTCCCCAAGACTACTGTTAGCTCATGAAAAGACTAGCTTACCACAAAGATTGCATCATTCTTAGAGAACAAAAAAACTTCCTAGCTATTTAAACATAGGTACAAAGACGACTGTACCCTAGTTAAAACTTTAATATTCTGGTTAAAACCATGAATTAATTTTGAAGTATAAGAAAGGTATCTGATTTTAATTTCCACTCTTTTACATGTCTAAGTACAAAAGTACTGACGATGACTCACCTTTCCAGTTTTTGCTGCAGAACTTTTATTTCTTCCTTCAACTTTCGAATACTCTCTCTCTTACTTCGAATAAGCTCTTTGCTCCTATACATGTACCTAGGCAAGTAACAATGCCAAAAACACAATATATATGTTAAAGCAGTCTTGGACACACATCTCAGCAAACTAGCAATACAAGAGCAGTTCTTCAATGAAACAAGTCACCTCGGAACATGGACAGCCTACAACACTAACTGCTAGGGGTGCAGGCCCACACGTTCCCCCGACGTCAGGGTCAGGCCAGGACGACCTCTTGCAGGCCTTCTCGTGACGAAATGGAAAGCAGACACATCACACAGGAAGAAGTAAAACTTCAGCTGTAGACGGTCGGGTCATTATTTATATATTCCCAACGAATCTACAAAGTCTCAAGAACTAATAACACAAATTTTGTGAGGCCAAAAAATACACAATTTTTAAGAAGAAAAATGAATTATTTCTACACATACTAAAACAAGGAATTGACAAGTGGAATTTTTAAGATGCCATTAAAATAAGGTAAAAAACCTTATGTATGTAATGACTAAATATGTAAATTTAGTCAAGTACGCAAAAATCATGTTCATGGACAGACAGAATTACTATTGTTACGATGGCCACCAATTATCCCCAAATTGATCTATAGATTCAATGTAATCCCAACAAAAATTCCAATAGCTGTTTTGTAGAAACTGACAAGCTGACAAGTAACACCGGTGTGAAACAATATCGAATCGTTAAAACACTTAGAAGATGGCCAGTGTCTGGTTTCAAGACTTACATTAAAGACACAAAAACAAACATAATATAGCACTGGCCCAGGAACAGGCATACGCAACAATGGAAGAACAGTCCCGACACAGGTCCGCACATGTATCTTTGATTCATTTTTCACAAAAGTGCCAAGGTAATTCAATGGGAGAAAGAGATGGCTTTTCAGCAACTAGGGTTGGAGCAATTAGACATCCATATACTGCTGCCACCCTCAAAACCAAAAACTTGTATAAAATTACTCACAACAGTTTTATTTATAATTGGCTGCAACTGGAAATGTCTGATACGTACTTCAATCGATGAACAGAAAAAAATACTACAATCTATCCATTCAATATAATACTACCACCAACTGGCCTCACGTTGATGTCTATTCATACTAAGGAGCAAACTATTGGTTTACACAACACTGATGGATTTAAAAAACATTACTCCAAGTGAAGAAGACACAAAAGGGCACTACATATTATTGTCATAAAAATAACATTCTAGAAATGACAAAACACAGGCCAGAAATTAAGTGCGTAGTTACAAGACTTGTGGATGGGTGAATGGACATGAATGTAGTGAGGCCCCAAAAGAGATTCTGAGATGGAAATATCTTCATCTTGAAAACCCATAGGCTGCACACCTAAGAATGGTGACAATTCGTACTATACTTTAATAGACTAGACTTAAAAGTCTAAAACATAAGCTCCATCTGCAATTTTTTCTTCTTCAGTAATACAGAGCTACTATTCATCTTGACACATCATGGACACTCCACATACTGTTTGTGTTAGGCAGGGTTCTCTAGAGAAACAAAACCACTTATGATTATATATAAATATATGGATAGATTTATACAGCACAAAGAAATACAACAGCTAGTTAGCCCACACAGCAGCACAGAGGGCTCAGTTCAACTCACTTCCATGGAACAGTTAATAATACTAGAAGTCCTGCAACTCTAGAGGGCTGCTGGGTCCAAGGTCAAGGAAAACAGACAGCTGAGTCTTCCCTCGTGCAATGCAAGCAGTCAGCCCATAGGCAGCAAACAGCAGGGCTGGTCACCAACAGTCAGCAGCTCAGGAGCTTAGCGAAGCAGGCCCGGATGGGACATCAAACTCAAGAAATGCAAGACAGGATCCACCAGCCTCAAGCTCAAGTGATGTGTACACACCAGCAGTGTGGCAAAGCAGGTCTCGAAGGAACCTCAAGCTCTAGCAACATGATCCACAGGTTGGCTATCCCACAGGTAGTGTAGCTCACACAAGTTGAGGCAGAAAACTAGCTAAAGCAGCCACACACTGGTCCAATCACCAGAGGGCAAGAGAGAGAGGTGGGGCTTGCCAAGCCATTTATCTCTTTGTTCTTCAATCAAACAGTGACCCTATTAATCCCACATGTTCCTATTAACCAGGTTAGCACAATAAACACCTATCACAGTGTCCTTCAACCCCAAAGTAACAGGGTGTTTGCCTGAAACCTAGTTAAGACTTAAACTATGGTCCACAGGTTAGAAGCATCATTAGCACAGCACTGGGAGCTGCTTAGAAATGCAAATTCTTGGGCCCCACTAAATCCAAATCTTCGTATTACTCAAGGTCTCCAAATGATTCCTATTCACATTAGTCAGCATAGGCTAATTTCTATTGTGTGTAAGTGTGTGTGTGAGAGAGAATATATCTACACATACTCATATTAGACATATATCTATACATACATACATATTATACACACACACACACATATATATCAGAAAGACACCAAAGCACTCACCTGTCTATATAAATGATCTGAGGAAATTCCAGCTTATTGTGAATTTTCTCTGGCTGACCAAGGGATTGATTGAACTCAAATCTTGAGAGTTCAAAGGTCAGCACTGGAGGTAGCTTTGTAAACCAACACTATGTCAGAAGTAGAAATGTAGAAGAAAAGAATTTTAATTTTAGCAAATGGCAACAGTCAGAGATTTAAATTATCCGTCATCAAGTTTTCTTCTTTAGGATCATGGAATTTACACTTAAACTCACGCTATTTTCCATCCCACATACTAAGGAAATAGCCATGTAGATGGAAGCTCTTAAAAACAGATCATCACGCATTCCTCCAAATCCGATACGAGGCAACCAATAGCAATTTGCCCAACCACCATCCTCAGAAACCACCACCCTCAACTATGCAAGCTGAACCAAGAATCTAGACACCTGAGTAGATCAGCCACATTCAAAAAGTATTCCAAGGTCTAAAAAACAGTGAGCTAAATAGAATTCTCAATCAAAGGTTTAGAAGAGTTGACCTAAGCAACATACAACAAAGAGAAGACACACTGTCTCTAAGAATCAGATAAAACGAGCAATATATACAAACATATATGTATTATATACCATTTACTCAATTAACCAAAATTTAGATTTGCCCGTATAGCTAAAAAAGAACCCTAAAATAGTCTCATGTTGTAATTTCTCAAGTTTCCAAGAAATTCTTTTAAGTCCAAGAATTTACAAATGTATCATAAGGAATCCAGTCAAATCAACTTACCATACTATACTCGAGGATTAGCCGAGGCAACCTAATTTTACCACAAAAACTGCATTAAAAATGAGCTGAAAAACTCAGCTTATACACTAGTACACACGGCATAATGCTTCCTTGAATTTCAAGAGAAGAAAGTACTGACTTCTATAAAATATTCCTACTGTCACTTCTAGACTAGGAAGGCATTTCTGTTCAATTCATCTGTATGTCAGAGATTCATGTGAACAGCTTTAAAATGTTCCCTTTGCCAGAGATGTACAGGGCTACCACTTTCCCAAGCCCATCCGTACACTGTTGCCACTCCAAGGTGCTGCTTCATCACTGCACAACGCTTTTCCCTTACCCTCCAGGCTCTCCTTTCTCGTTTGCAAAAGACAGAGCTCCCTTTTGTGAGTGAGTACGTCCTGTCAGCAGGCAGTGCAGATGATACACATGTGTACCAGCAAAAAGTTGTTCTTTTCTTGAAAAGCTAGAGGCGTGATTCACTATCCCAGTTCCATCACTGTTCTAGAGTTAAAGTTCTTCCTCTAGTTTCGGTTAGACTCTTGCATCTAACTCAGAGAAAGTTTTCCTTTCTCCTGTAGTAACCACGGAGATGGATTCCTAATGTAAGCCTCAAATGTTGCTCAACATGCATGATGAGAGGCGAGCCAGCCACTCTGTGTGGTGCTGACGATCTGCTACACATGCCACTCCATCTTCATCCACTGGGACCTCAAGACAGCAATTCCCTTGCTCTCCCCACCTTTCAAACCCCACGGAATAAAATGAGTGACTACAAATAAATCTGTAAGAGCTTAAAAGCAAAGGCAGAATTACAATTGCAACAGCAAATACTATATAGGGAAAAGATTCTAAATGGCATACCATAGGTGTTAAGCACTGTACTTTTACCCTCCGAAAATATGGAGGCAGTGGGCTCTCCCTACTCAGGTACAGGTAGGCTTCAACAGAAAGAGAGAAACTTGATCATACTTAAAACATCAGAAGCAGCATATAACCTTTAAATGATAAACTCAGTTTCATAGTTAATAATTTATTTATCAAAGCACTCCAAGACTCACTGACTCATACCAACTCATGGGAGACTGAAGACAAAACCGAACTGCATTCAGGGGACAGCTTACTATGTGTGGGAAATGAGTCTGCCGGAAGCTCAGTCCTGCTGACCTGGCTTCATCGCTGGCGTCAAAATGTCTAACTTACCTCTTGCCCATATTTCACTGAATGATCAGAAGGATCAACGTCACCTTCCACCATGGCCCCTTCCAAACATTCGTCTAGGTTGCGATAACCGTTTACCTGAAGAGGATACTGGCCGAAGGTCTCATTGTTACAAAAGGGCTTTCCTAGGCAAAGAGAGGGAGATTTTTTTTTTAAAAAGACACAATCACATTATCTATAATCTCGTTTCTGATACCATGGAGAGTTATCTTCTTAAATTCTCTACTTCCTGAAACTCACTAGGAGGGTTCTGAAGTTTGGGGTCACCACTAACGAACGAGTGGATCCAGGCACTGATCATTAATATCACAAACAGAGAGATAAACAGGTATTAGGTATCCGTAATAGAACAACATCACACTCCCTGTGAATTAGGCATGCCAGAAAGGTAATCTAACCAGAATCTGGTCAAACCTCGAGATCCAACTACTAGTGTCTGGGAGCAGCAGTGGAGTAAAACCTGCTAAACTATCACGGACATGCTCGGCAAGATTCAGACTGAGAACCACCCCAGAAACACCAACTCTACTTCTTCAAAATGGATAGGCATGCCAATGGACAAAGGACTTGGGGGGAGCCCACAAATTTCTGATCTACCAACCAGCCATATGTGAACACGGACTAGATACTTGAGTTTAAGAAAAACTGAGTTTTTGTGATGGATCGTGGCATTGGGTCACGCTTTCAGAGAATGTGGGCGAGGACAGAGTTGATGGGGACTCCATGGGGAGTGGCCGCAGGGCAGGTGGTTGGTGGGAACATAGGCGTTTTTATATGGCTCTATTTATACATGTCATATCTGTAGCTCTGATAACAGCTCTAAAGTAGACAAAGGCTCTTGGCTGTCTAACTCAAGAAAATCTTTTGAGACTGGTTACTCCACCAGAAACAGTAACACAGACCTTTGAGAAACATCCCCAAATATCCGACATTGATGCCAAGATTTGGGCTGAGCACATATTGTGCAATCTAATCGAACAACTCGGAGGTAAAGATGGTCCTCATTTTAACAGAGGAAGAAACCAAGGTTCCAAGCGCTCACCCAGTTTCCACCTAACTCTGCAGACAAAGAGGCAGACCAATACAGAGACCTGGATTTTCCTGAGATTGCTTCCCCCAGAGAAAACCTAGCCAGCACCACCACCTGCTGGTCACAGAAAGAAAGATGCAGCCCCACGCCCCAGGCGCTGACGTAAGACTTAGCAGGGCACTTACCGTCACGAACCCCTTCGGTCAGGAAAGTACCATAGAATAGCTGCACCATCGGGTTCTCGGACCTACTGCTGCTGGCACCGCTGCTTTCGGAGAAGGAGACAACTGTGTCATTCTGATCAGATCTGCACCATGGTTTGCCCAACCTTCACTGAAACAAGGACTGCAGTGCCAGCAGTCCCCACAGAGCCAGATGACACTGCATGGGTTCAATTCAAACACTTCCTGCACAAATTCATGTCTACATTGTGCAGAGTTCTGGATCCTTAGCCTCAAGGAGCTGAAAGCTCAAAGGGAAAGCCATATATAGAGACATGCATGTATCTGTACACATTGTGTATCTACATCCATATCTGACAGCTGTATGTATACAGGGTACAGAGGTAATGTAATGGTAGAGGTGATGGACCCTTTGTACAATTTTACAAATAAATGCAGGGATTTTCCAACGGCCTAGAATGGAAGTAGCTTTCCCCCCACATGCCCACCTTAAATTATTTCTACATGAAGTTGCTATTTGTGAAACTATTTGATGACACAATTCTTCTACCTAGAATTAAAAACACTTAGACAATTTGTCAACATCTGTATGAGACAAGGGACACACAAATTCTCTGCCCTGCTGGTTGTTAAAATGACTAAAATCTATCCTCTACAAATTGGTCTTAACTTAAATGTCATGTGTCCATAACTGGTCCATCAGGTTCATAGCTGGGGTTTGACTTCTACAGCACAAGCTCTGCCTTTGACAAAACTAAGAATTACGACGGTCCTTTTAGTTAAAGAGCAACAATTGGTAGGCTAAGATCACTCTGTCGTTGAAGGTGAACACCAAAGGTAACGGGAATATATTATACAGCGAGGAATCCGAGTGGCTCCCTGATGAAGTTGGTTAAAACCTGTTTCTGCTCCCTGAGAACAGTAGCTTCCCCCGTGTGATGCGTCATACTGGACCACTGTACAAGCAAGGTCTCAACACTCACTTCACATTAACAGCTAGCTGGAACGCGTCCTCCAGCCAGTCCAGGAGCTTATGTGTGAATTCACTCACATCTTGCTGTAAGAGAGGCAGACGTTGCAGAGGTGTTAGACACAACACCACAGTGCAGGAAAAGAAAATGTGTGCTTATCCCACTGGCGACTAAGATTCCACTACTCTGAAAGGCTTGCTAGGGCCAGGTAGCGTGAAGCCGAGACGACAGGTAAAAAGAAGGTGAGTTGGGTGAGTCAAATGTGGCTAGCAGGGAACTGAAACTCTACCACTTCCTGCCGGGACTATTTGTGGCAGAGTAAAACAAGGAAACAAAATCTTCTAAGTAGGCCTCAAAATAAGAAGAAAAGAGTCCCGTGGAGAATAAGGCAGGAAGGAGAGAGCTGAATGGAGATGGAACCATTGAGGAAATCCTTCCCTGGTTGGACAGAGCTGCAGGCCCTTCCTCGAACTAGAGAGAGAATACAGTGCTGGAGGAAGAAAGCAGCCGTTCTAAGAGTGACAGCTTTGCTCTTTGGTTGGAGGTAGAGACAGGGAAGTCCTAAACCTGGAAGAAAAATGTTCGGAAAACTCAAGCTTTGATAGCTGCGAAATGACAGTTTCTATTTTTAGTCCCAGGACAGTGTATCCACAAAGGACTTGCTATGCTTCGCGGGGATGCTTTCTCCTTCCACCCCTTCAGAGGCCAGGGAGTCGTCTCTTACTTACAGCAACACTACAGGGTGGGGTAGAGATGTTTCCATGGCTCTAAGCTTCACGGAAGCAGGAAGCCTCCTCTTTCCCTGGCGGATGGTCTCGTAAGCTTGTTAGTAAGGCAAGTGCTTAACCGATGCACCACCAGGATTCCTTTCTATGGCAACAATCCCTATAAATCTATATTCTTTCTGGTACTAGTTCTTGTTCCCTGTAGCACAGCCATCCCTGCCTCCCGTCCCACAGACACAGACATGCTACCACCACCACCACCACCACCACCTGTTTCTTCGGCATTAGAAAGTTCAAGGGGGGCAGCCATGTCCAGAATTTATACAGCTAAAATAAAGCAGTAAATACCACAGATACAGAAACAAGGCATAATCAGAAAGCTCTACGGAGTTTGGCAAACAAAATAGGAACAAGACTTCCTCTTTCGTACCTGCTGTTCGTCAGACGACCGGAATGCTCCCTTTAAGAGATCCAGGGCTGCTGAAGGGTCTACAAATTTGCGATTTGATCCCATCATCAGAGCAAAGAGATACTGAAGCTCTTGCATAAACACGATGTTCCTCTTTTCCTGTGGAAACACTGTGGTGAATGCTCTCACAGCTTTGCGCAGAGCGGAGATGCAACAGTGCCAATGGTTGCTCCTCACTCTATTTAGCGGGAGCCCTGCTGGTGCACAAGGTTACCAGTCGGGCTGCTAACTGTGAGGTCAGCAGTTTGAATCGACCAGCCACTCCACTGGGAGAAAACTGAGGCTTTCTATTCCAGACACTGTTCGCGGGCCAGTTCTACTTGCACCACATACTGGGTCTCTACGGATCATAAGCGACTCAGTGGCTTTGGTTTGGGCGAGAGCTCAGTATCAGATCTCAAATGACACGACAGTGACTCTGTTAAGCCTGCAGAGTACTCTACAGTGCACATGTTACGTAGAAGCCAGAGAAGTCCTATTGTCAGAAAAGCAAAATAATTCATTTTTGATGTGGTCACCTTCCCTTCCTGTTAGAAAAACACATCGTCAAGGTGAACTCCTGGCAAGCCCTAGGCAGCTGGCAGGAGCAGACAGACATCTCCCCTAAGAATGGCCTGCTAGGCTCTAGCATCCAGTGACCCAGAATGCATCACTTGGGCTAAGCCGCTAGAGGAACCACGCAGGCCAGCATCCATCCTCAGAGCAGACAGGAGCTTCTCAATCTCCCTGCCCAGAGAGAACGCCAAGGCTGGCATGACATAAAGCTTTCCTTTTGAGGAAGTTTTGAATGCCAGTCCTACTCCATATTTCTACTTCATAGTGCTTCTCAGAGAGAAGGGGAGGATGGAGAGAGGGAATCCAGTTAGAAATGGAAACAAATCATCGCAGCAGCAGACTAAGTGCATCGCAAGTCCCAGAGTTCACTCAACACGTTAAAGCCTTTGGGAGGAAGAAAGGGGTATAATGATGATGTGGAAATTCCCCGGCAACCACATACCGTGTGGCTTCGACAAGTCTCAAGTACATTCTGTGGCAGGCTGTAGCTGAGAACAAGCCTGCGAAACTCCGGCAATTGGAAGAGGGACTGAAACGAGAAATACAGAAAGAAAGGGGGGGTCAGACAGAGTCTTTTGTCCCAGAGAACTGCAAATTAATTTCTTCCACCTTAGCAGTGTGCATAAGTGTCAGCCTAACAAAGCTCACCTCGACTACGGCCTAAGAAGTAAGTATGGATATGTGCAGAACACGTGCTAACCCCTTTGAAACAGCCTAACGGGGAGCAAGAGTCACAGAGTCAATAAGCTATGCAGAACATGATGCAGTCGTTAAAATGCCACCACAGACAAATGCTTCCACAAAGCAGGACTGCTATGCAGTGGGGCAAACAGACGGTCAAGAGCCACAAGGACCAACATGGGGTAAGTCGCAGAAACACACTGAGCTCAAGCACTGCGTGGACGCCACCTACGCAGAAAGGCCCCTTCCATTTCTCTCTAACCATCAGCCCCTTCCGGGCTTCATCTCGCCACCTCCCTCATGAAATTCTCAAACTGCCCTCCACCACGCGTACCCAGCAATCCCGCTAACCTAAGTGAAGGGAATTCTCCACCCAAGAGTTTCAGAAGGCTGCTAAGAGACAATCCTGGTAAAAAGGCAAATACACTGACATTACAACACATTTAAAGTCAACCACCTCAAGCAGAGCTCCTATTTGAAGAAATCTTACAACTGTTTGTTTGTTTGTTTGTTTGTTTGTTTGTTTGTTTGTTTTCGGGGACCCACTGGTTTCCCTATCATGCCCAACAACAAACTTTCATTCCTTTGCAATCCGACTCACTTCTCCGGTCTCCAGAACTGGCTGCTCAGTATCATGCAGGAAAAACGAGCCTCTGAGAAATGATTTCAATGTCCCTAGGAAACCCTCGCTTCTTCTCCCTTTTCCTTGTCTCCTCCTCTGCCTATTTCAGGTTCGTCTCGCCACATACACTTGACAGCCTGAGCTCCCCTGCTTCCTCAGAAACCTTCCTTGGTACCCTCTCTACCTGCTGGCTCTCGCCACCACCTCTCACTGGTCTTCAGTGGAGGGGGATGTGAAGAGAGGAAAGGTTCTTTTGTCCTTTCTCTCCCTCTCTTGTAGATACAAGAAAACTAAATGATGCCCGTTTCCACATTATCTCCCTACCTTCCATGCTCAACAGATGCCAACATCCTTCGGAAATGAAGTCACACCACTTCTCTGCTACACACCTGTTACACCCTTTCCCTCCTATACCAATAAAGGCCACCCCACCTCCACCATGCTTCTGTGACCACAAGACTTCCTCTGCCCCCTCCCCGCCTTCTAGTCACACTGGCCTCCGTGCTGTGGCTCATGCACATGCATCTGGCTCTGGCTCTGGCTCCTGGGCCTGCATGCTTTTACCTGCTGCTCCTTCCGTCTGGAATATTCTTTATGTGATTATATGAGGGGGTTTTAAGAAGTTTGTGTAAAAATGGAATGTTTACAAACTTTATAAAGCCCCCTGTGTATACATCATTTCCTCGGCTCCTTCAGCCCTCTGGCAAAATGCCCACTGGCATGTAAATACCCCTGTCCCTGCTCATCCTATATACGGGGAATCCTGCCCTCTCCTGTGGGATCCTCGCTAGCCTGGCTCTCTGCCCTCATCCCTTTGTCTTTAGGGCACTCTTACGGATAAGTGTGTTGTTTCCACTTTTGATAGGTATTTTATTTATTGTCTGGCTCACTTTTTCAGAGTAGACTGCGTGAGCACAGAGGCTTGCTCTTCTTTGCTGCTGTTTTCCCAGTGTCTGGAACGGTGCCAGGAGTGAACGAATACCGGGACTGTGCATGGTGGTAAGAGATAAATACAATGCCATTCTTGGGCTGCGGTAGGTAGATGCCACGTACCAGGTCAGAGAAGATGGCAGGACTAGGCATCAAGTTTGGTGCCGCAGATCTGTCAAGTTTAAGATTCCTAGGAGGTATTTCCCAGCCACTACGCCCCTTGGGTAAATTCATTCACTCCCCTTTAGTGGCTTTAGTACGATCTAGATAGCACTATAAACTGCTACACAGCTGACAATGATTATGAGGATGGCGCAGGGCCGGGCAGTCTCATTCTGTTGTGCACAGGGTCACTGTGGGTTGACACTGATGAGAGAGCACCTAACCGCATATGAGGGGCTCAGAAAAGTTCACGGGAAAATTCCGTAATCTTTTAAAGCCACCTCATATATTACTGATTTCCAAAAGTATCCCTGTAACCAGGGAGAAAGACGAGGCTGTCTGCTCCCATAAGAGTTACATCCTCAGAAACCCACAGGGACAATTCTCCCTTGTCTGACAGGGTCGCTATGGATCAGAATTGACTCAACGGCAGAGACTTTTAGCGCAGTGGTTCTTCCTCCTGCTGCGACCCTTTCACACAGGTCCTCATGTGGTGGTGACCTACCCCCAACCATAAAATTATTTTCGTTGCGACTTCATAACTGTAGTTTTGCTACTGTTATGAATCATAATGTAAATATCTGATATGCAGAATGTATTTTCATTGTTACAAATTGAACATAATTAAAGCATAGTGATTAATCACAAAAACAAAACTGTATGTAATTATATATTGTGAGATATTTATTTCTAATGACAAATAAATCAAATTTTGTCTTGAAGCATGGTGTAGCATGGGTAACCGTCTTCACGCCGGACCCACCTGGAAACAGATAGAGGACCAGTGTCTCGGTTCCCAAGACCACCGGCAATATGTATTTTTTGATGGTCTTAGGCGACCCCTGTGAAAGGGTTGTTCGACCTCCAAAGGGGTCACGACCCACAGGTTGAGAACCATAGTTTTAGACAGTCTATCAGATCCTTTTTTCTAAATTACAGGCTCACACTTCACTGTTGCCATGTTATCTCCATAGCCTATCTTCCACAGCCTCCTCCCACTCAGGATGTCTAAAACTGGAAGGGACGCTCCCACTGGTAACACATGCCCAAGTGATTCTCCTCTGGTGCCAGCCCTGGAGTCTCTAACTCTTCTCAGCACAGGCCCCATGGCCAATCATTCACCAACGCTGGTCTCCTAAGTGTCCATGGAATAATACGCTCACTTCTTTCCTCCCGTGACCTTTGCCCCTGCCCTGGTTCAGGCATCATCTCCTGCCTGGATGTCTACAGTAGCCTTTAACAACTGACCTCATTCACTCTTTGCTGGATGTGATATACCAACCCCAAACAACAACAACAAAACCAAGCTCACCGCCACCAAATCCAATTCACAGCCCTCCTATGCGACAGAGGAGACTGCCCCAGGGGTTTCTTTACGGGAGTAGACAGCATTTGCTAAATGCTGGTATGAAATACCTGCTCGACCTATTGTAACCACAGAACTTTCGTTTGCTTGTCTGTTTTTGAGCACCATCCTAACTAGGCACCAGAGTCCGTACCTAAATACAAAAAGCAATGCAAATAACGTCACTGAAAAAAATACCCCACTTTTGTATATAGACTCCTGTTTTTTAAAAGCCGTGGTTGTCACATTTCAGTTTCACAAGTTACATGTTTCCCCAAAGACATAGTTGTCTCTTTAAAATGCCATACCTGAATAACAGCATTAAACCAGCACGTATTGCCAACGTTTTTCAGACCAACCGGCCAGCCATCGACCCTCCTCCAGTCGTTGGGACTCGGATTCTCTCCCCAGACTTCACATCGCTTTCTCTTGGAGCGCTTGGCGTCCACAGAGGTCGCTTCATGCAGCCTAGAGCGTGTGTGCACACCACACCGCCCAACAGAGAACAAATGAGAAGTGAACAAGCAAACACTGTAGCTGGTCAGGACCAAAACACACCACCTGGACGATGCGGGCAATCTTGCGTAGATCATCCAAAATGCTGAATATACTGTTTAGGGGCAATGTCTGGCTAGAGAGTAATT